GCGGGGCGCGGCCAGCCCGGCGGCCACAATGGGGTGGATTTTGAGATACTGCGGGGCCGTGACGCGGGTACAATGCGAGCCAAAAGTGTAGGCGTGGGTCGGGCGGCGGCGCCCCGGCGGCACCCCCTCGGGGGCCCCGGCCCGGAGCCCCCTCCCTTTGTGCCTGACCCCCGAGGGGGCCCCTTCGGCTTCACTACACTTTAATCGGATAATTAGCGGTGGGACGACAATAATTGAACGAACGGGTTGGATTCGTCGGGCTGTGTGAGTACACTGGAAATAAGTCTCACTGCTGTGATGTCCAGACGAGGTGGCGGCTCGGCGACCAGGGGCGGCCCGCATCTTTTCTCGGGCGGCTTCCTTTTTCGATCTTCGTTTTATTGGTGGACCCGTTGGATCTCCGCGCGTCTTTCTCTCTCTGCCCTAGTTTGAAACATGACTCCTTCGTATGCTTGATTTCGGAGTTGTCCGCCGCCCTGCGTTATTGGACTGTTCTTTGACACACAGAGGGAGGGAGAGACGGACAGCGTGTGGCCCTCTTTTGTGGTGTGCTGCTTGTTGCTGCGCGCTGCTCCGTCGGTCGGTCGGCCGACTCCGATGTGCGTGGTGGCCGCTGGTTGCTGGTACACTGGTATCTGCGAGGCGCCCCGCCCCGCCCCGCCCCGCCTTCCTCGCATAGTTGTAGCGCCAAGCGCCCTGAATGCTATCTGCACTCGACAATGCATGCCGGCGTCGCCGTGCCGCCGTGGCGCCGTGGCCGTGCCGGCAGGCATCGGGCAGGGCATTGTTTGACCCACAAAAGCCGGAGAACCACCCGAAGGGCCGAGGGACACTCGGCGACGACGCCGACGACGATGTCCTGCAGGACGCGTCGCTGGACGCAGGCTCGGACTGGCTCCCAAAAGGCCCCGGCGGATAAGACCATAAAAGGCCCCCGATCATCATTGTTTTTACCCTACATGACCAACTTTGTGAGGCTACCGCTCCCAAACTAGTTGCGGTCAATAGCCTTCCCGATACAGGGCATGAAAGAGTAGGGTCTTAAGAATACTAGGGCGTCGAGGGAGGCCTTTTGCGGTTACTAGATTGGACACAGTGGCCGCCCAAAGTCAGCAAAATCAGCAAATTTCCGAGATTCGACCACTTTTTGACCAACTTTGGTCCCGAAATCGTTGCGGTCAAAGGCAAAATCGGTGTGGTCAACGTCTTCCCGATACAGGGCATGAAAGAGTAGGGTCTTAAGAATACTAGGGCGTCGAGGGAGGCCTTTTGCGGCTACTAGATTGGACACAGTGGCCGCCCAAAGTCAGCAAAATCAGCAAATTTCCGAGATTCGACCACTTTTTGACCAACTTTGGTCCCGAAATCGTTGCGGTCAAAGGCAAAATCGGTGTGGTCAACGTCTTCCCGATACAGGGCATGAAAGAGTAGGGTCTTAAGAATACTAGGGCGTCGAGGGAGGCCTTTTGCGGCTACTAGATTGGACACAGTGGCCACCCAAAGTCAGCAAAATCAGCAAATTTTCGAGTTTCGACCACTTTTAGACCAACTTTGGTCCCGAAATCGTTGCGGTCAAAGGCAAAATCGTTGTGGTCAACGTCTTCCCGATACAGGGCATGAAAGAGTAGGGTCTTAAGAATACTAGGGCGTCGAGGGAGGCCTTTTGCGGTTACTAGATTGGACACAGTGGCCGCCCAAAGTCAGCAAAATCAGCAAATTTCCGAGATTCGACCACTTTTTGACCAACTTTGTTCCCGAAATCGTTGCGGTCAAAGGCAAAATCGGTGTGGTCAACGTCTTCCCGATACAGGGCATGAAAGAGTAGGGTCTTAAGAATACTAGGGCGTCGAGGGAGGCCTTTTGCGGCTACTAGATTGGACACAGTAACCGCCCAAAGTCAGCAAAATCAGCAAATTTCCGAGATTCGACCACTTTTTACCAACTTTGTGAATGGCCAGTCCCGAGCCTGGACGGACACGATGTCGGCGAGAGGCTTCTTTTAGGGTCTTGCCGCGAAGTTGGTCTAAACGGTGACAAACGTGTGGAAATCGTGTTTTAGGCTGACTTCGCGCTTCCACTGTGTCCAAACTAAGGCGCGAAATGGTACTTCCTCGACGGGGCAGTATTCTGTGGTGCTTCCTTTGCCATGCCTTTGCTACGGAGTGCGATGCTCTACCTCGGTTTGGCAGCAGTCCTGCCGCGAAATGGGTCCAAACGGCGACAAACGAGAGACATTCAAGTCTTCCACGGGCAACGAAGCGGCGCGCGCCGCGCCTGGCTGGACGCACAGAAAACGGCAAACCTCGGCGTGGAAATGCGAAAGAGCGAAATGCGCGTGAGGCGACGTCGATGAAAGCGCTGAAAGGCTCGCACGGCGTTCGCTCTGTTCTGGGCTTGTTTTACAGCGTGTGGGCGGCCGGATGAAAGCTCTTTGGAAAAAGCGAAGACAGGATGGGGGCGGCGGCGGGGCGCTTCGGCGGTCGCCCCCCTCCTGGCAGTGACGTGGACGTTAGGAAGGGCATCGGGAAAAAGGGGGAGGGGGGGGATTCCCCTGAAATGATGGATGGCGCTCGTGTCGCCCGAGATTTATAAATCTATCTCGCATGTAGTGGTGTGTAGTGTTGAACGCGAAAGAATGGTCCCGGGGACATCCACTCGGGGGGCGGTGAGGCACAGCGGAGCGCCTCCACTGGGATGGGTCGGGGCGGCGGCCGGGCCTTCCCCCGGGAGCCTCCTCAGCCGCGCGTCGCACTCATCGCTCGTTCGATGAATCAAAATGTCGCGCCGTCATTTGGCGGTTCGTGGCGAAGCGAAGTGAAGTGGAGTAGATTCGCCCGAACGCGCTCTGGAACTCCGTGCCCGAAGCGAAAAATTCAGGTTTGGGTCAAGGCTACTAGTTGGAACCCCCAACTTAAAACTAAAAAAAAAGCAAAAAAAAAAAACAACAATAAAAAAACGAAGACATTTTTAAAAGAAATATTTCGATTATGTGGGTTGGACGACTGCGCTACACAACGTGCCTAACGCAACCAAAGCTTCGAAAAAAAAAAATCAAATTAAAATTCTACGAGGCGGCGGTACACTCTAAAAGTTTGAAAGGTGCTTGCTTTGTAGTTTTGCAAGGCGGCGGGTTGTGTAGCGTTACCCCCGCGTCGCGGCGGGGCGGCGCAGGCGTCTGGGAACTTGGGTAGTGACTGAAGGGGTACTCGATCACGAGCGCCCCCCCCCCCCAATTGGCGCCCCTTTGCCTTGCCCCCCTCGGCCCCGGTGCCCCGGTCGGCGCTCGCTGTGCTACACTTTGTGCGAAGTTGCCCCTTCCCGTGCATTTCGGTTCCGCGGGTTCCGCGGGAGAAGTTGGGATTATTAATTACGATCTGATGAAGACTCTGCTTGTAAACCCCCCCCCCCCCCCCCCCGACCGCCACGACTTCACGCGCCGAACTTGCGCTCCATTGTTGTTGTTGTTTTTGATTTGTTTGCGTTCCCGCCGCGCATCCCGGGGCCCCCTGGATCACCAAGTGCCGTGGTCCCGGCGCCCTGATTGGCTGCTTGGCAAAGGCTTGGCAGTGCATTGGACGTTTGAGGTTCGAGAGTGCTGGTATCGACCGGGCGTTCGGAAAGAAGGCTTTGTCGCCGTGCCCCAACAGTGGAGCGGCAAGGTCCGGTAGGGCCCTACGATCGATGACACACGCGATTAGGTGCGTCCAGCTGCACGCTCGCTCCGTCTCTCTCGCACGCCCAGGGGCGGCCCGTGAGTGCGAGAGAGACAGAGCGACGAAAGCGCCACCGGGCGGCCTGGCGACTTTTCCATGGGCTGCCCGGCCTAGCCCCGCCCAGCCCGGCCCGTCCCATATACACTACACTGACAGGACGTCCAGGGCGGGGCGGGGCGGGGCGGGCCCGGTTCGAGAGAATCGAACCGACTGTCGATCAAGCAAACTACTTAATCGGCGACGGTGGCGCGGACCTGTCGCACCGCCACGCCGCGCCACGCCCCGACACGCCGCTCAAACTGGCACCCGGGGCGGTGCACGGGCCGCGAGAAAAAAACTAACCAAAATGAAACGTGTGGCAAAACAGGGTCTGCGAGCTGAAGGTTTAAGGTTGCCTACCCTCTTAACACCCGGCGGAGTGGCGGGCGGCCTACCTCGCCGTCGACGGGCGGTGGGCTGCCTCCCGGTGACGGCCACATCGTCTTCCTCGGTGTTCCTCGCGGCATTTGTCGAGTCTATCGGGCGTCTCCCCGCCCTGCCGCCCCGACGGGCCGACAGGCCGACGGACCGACGCCAGAGAGTTACGGTTCGGTGTGCATCATTTAAAGTGGGTCCGTGGGTTTCGGCCTTCGGGTCCAACGTAACGTGCTCCGCTCCCCCTGCCGCCGTCCCCGAGGCCACTTTTAAAGCGGCCGTGATGGTGGACAGACCAGACAGTTCGGAGACTGGGATGCGCTCTTTCGCCCGCGGGCGTGGCGTGGCGTGGCGTGCCGTGGCGTGCCGTGCCACAGGGAGTGAGAATGATTAAAATAGCTCCGAGCGGTGCAGCGCAATGCACCGACCCGAAGTCCCGAACGCCCCACCCGAAGCCCCGAAGCCCCGAAGTCGAAGGTGCGGGAAATGGTGTTTGTCTGCGCGGCTGCACCGCGAGGCGATGATTTTTATGTTTACACCACGCCGCGGATCTATTTTCAAAACACGATCGCCGAGCTTTTTATCGGCGCGAAGACGGGAAAAAAAAGAAACTGGAATGCCGTCTCGCAATGCGGATGCCCGCCCTGCGCCCGTCGAGTTTAATCAGAGAGAGAGAGAGAGAGAGAGAGAGAGAGAGGGAGAGAGAGAGAGAGATGCCGACTGACCAGCAGCATTGGCAGCAATGAACACATGCCGGCCATGTGACAATGCCTGTTATTATCCAATTGCATGCATTCCCCTCCCCCAATTGCAGTCATTGCTTCATCTCCATGCACTGCGTCGCTTCATTTCTTTCTTCCTCCTTGCTTGCAGATCGCCGCTGAGTCCGCAGGCAGCCCAAGATGAAGCGCTGGGCCTGGTACCTGGCCGTCGCCGCCCTCGGTCTAGGTAAGGCAGTGCCTCGGCGCATTTCGGATTTTTGCAGCGGCGTACGCACTACTTTGCGTGTGGACTGCACGGCGACCACCGCGACCCCGGTCGGCGGAGTTAGCAGTCAAGTTGGCAGCCTGCTCGGGGAAAGAAACTTTCGAGGCCCTCGACGACTCTCACCTTGTCCAGTGGGGTGCCCGACGACCCCCACCCCCAGCCTGCCTGCCCCAGCCAATCAGAGGCCGTGTCTCCGGCCTGCCTATCGCACTAATGCCCTGCTCGCTGCACGACAGAACGACAGGCCGTGGCGCTAGGCCACTGCTTGAACTAACAGCCACCGTGCGAGCGAGCGTGTGTGTGGGTCTCGTTAACCTAATGGCGTGTTTCAATTTGCCACCAAGCACTCGGCGCGGCAGAGTGGCCGCACCGGTCGGCGTCTGACGTGGCGTGGCGCGTCGCCCTGCACTGTCGGAGCCCGTCCAAGCCAGCCCGGAGGCCCCAGCCAGCCTGGCCCCAGCCTGGCCCCAGCATGCAATGGCTCCGGCCATGTCGAGGTGGCCTGGCTCGGCCCGGCTCGGCCTGCCCAGGTTGGGGGCGGCGAACGCCAAGCGATAGCCGTTTTCTTCTCTTTCCCTCTTGGTTTTCCTCCCTACTTTCACTCTTTTAGCCTTTTTCCGCCTCTTTCTTTATCTTTTCTCTTTCTGCCCCGCGACACGTTTCAATTTCCGTGCCGCCCCGTTCCGTTCCTCGCCCAAGATGCTGGAAGTAGTTTTCGAACCCTGGCCGTACTGGAGGTCGTTATCCCAGCCATAGCCGTTCACGTCAGGCTGCCTGGTGCCTAGGCTCGGCCTGTCTCTCTCGCGCCCCTTCGGGCCGCCCCGTGGGCCTGTGGGTGCGAGAGAGACAGCCAGGGTCGTGTATCCACGCCACTTGGCGAGCCTCCGATCCAAGTATACTTGCAAATGACCCGGCCGATATTACCCCCATCCCTCCCCTCGGCAGATGTCGGATTTCTCATCGGTGTTCACCTGGAACTCATCAGGCGGGGGGTGGGGGAAATTATGCCACCGCCCGTGCCGAACAGAAAATCGAAATTGTTGACTTTCTTTCTTCTTTTCCCTCCGTCCTGCTTGTTTTGGGGCGGGGCTTCCGCTGTCACTTGCCTGCCGTGGCGGAGGGGGGGGGGGCTCGTTTTCGAAAGGGTTGGGGTCGTGAGGGAGCCCACCGTAGCCCTCCGTACGCCAGCTACGCCAGTCCCGTCACGGCGGGCCGCTTTGTCATCCCCTCTCTCTCCCTCTCCGCCCCCGGTACCCCTCCGCCCCCGTGGCCGTCCTGGTCCTGGTGCACGGCGCCCACGTGGCCCTGGAGGCCGTGGAGGCCGTGCCGCTGCCCCCACACCCATTTTTCTTCGGTCCGCCCGAAGCCTACCCGAAGCGTACCCGAAGCCCACCCGAACCCCACCCGAAGCCTACCCGAACCCCACACCAAGCCGACCTGAACCCCGCCCGAAGCCGACCCGAAGCCTACCCGAACCCCACCCGAAGCCGACCCGAAGCCGACCCGAAGCCGACCCGACCCGACGCCTACCCGACCCCAACCCACCTACCCTAAGAAGTGCGGGCTCATTGCAGCGTCCCGGAGTCCCACTGGCGTTCGAAGCCTGCCCAACCCGGAATGTGAGCCGAGGCCGTGTTTTGCGTTATCTCCGCATCACGGCCATTACCCGTGAGGACTCACTGAGGAGGCCGGGGAGGCCGGCGGGGCGGCCGGGGAGGCACGAGGACTTTGGCGACTAAGTTGGGGAAAGGCCATTGTTGGAAGTTGCCGCGCTGCCGGCCTGCAGCGCTATGTTCCGCGCTCTGTATGGCCGGCGCGGCGCGGCACGGCACCCGGAAGTGGATACAGGGCTACAGAAACGCCATAACGCACAATTAGTGCAAAATAGAAAGGGGCGTGTGCTGTGCGCTGCGGCTGGCTGCCACGCCAAGTGCGGCCGGGGAAGGGGGAGGGGTGGGGGAAGGCCGGCGTCCGGTTCAATTTTAGCGCACCGTTTCCACCGGAAATCGCCGGTGGAACCCGCGCTCGCCGTGTTCTGGGGGGGGGGGCGTTCACATGGGAGTTTTCCTGCGGCCTGGACAACCCAAAAAATCCCCCCACCCCCCAAAAAAAGCGCTGCACCTTCTTTTCAACGATTTTTATTATTTTAATTTTAAATTTCATTTTTAGCTCTTGTATGTTTTTAAGAGTCGCGGCCGCTGAAAGGGCTCCGGGCTGGCTTCGGCTGGCTGGGAAGCCCTTTGCGGGGGGGTGGGGGGTGGGAGGAGTGGCGGGGCGCGGGGCGTGCAGGTGCTTTGTCAAACTTTCTATTTTTAGTAAGAAGGGAGGGAAAATTGGAGTGGCTGCCCTTCGGTTCGGTCCCTTCGCTCGGTCGAGGTGTGTGAGAATTTGCCCTTTTTTCTTGTTCCGCTCTAGTATTTTTTCTGTCCCTCTCTCTCTCTCTTTTTTTTCCGTTCCTCTGTGCGCTCACCGTCCTTGTCTCTCATCGGCCGCGAACCACACATGTTCGGCGGCGCGAGGTTTGTCAGCCTCGCCGCGTCCCGTCACGTCTCCGTTCTTGTCGTTGGTCTTGTTGTTGGTGTTCTTGTTGTTGTTGCTGGTGTTGTCTTCGTCGTTGAGCCTCGCCACGGCCTGGGCAGCAGCACGGCCCCGCCGCGAGCGGCTGTTTTTGCCCGATGACGGGAGCTGGAGCTTGATGTATTGGGTGACAGAGGACCTTAAGAGAGGGGCGTCTTGGAGCCAATTACTGCCTGGAGGCTATCCTGGAGCCAGAAGCCCTGGAGAACCCGGGGACACCGAGCTGGAGGGAACTTCCTTCCCGCGATGGATTTTCAGACCAGAAGCAGGGCATCGTCGATGTCGGTGCTGCAGGTATTCGGGCCCTTGGCCTTCTTGGCGTGCTCCAGGGAGTGCGTGACCCCGCGGCGGTCATGCCATGAAGGCGGCGGGGGCGGCGAGCGTGTGACCTTTCGCAGCGCTCCCGCAAAGCTGCCGCTTCTTCGCCACGCTAACACGTGTATGTGTGTGCGCGCACTGCAAGGGGATCCTGTTGCATTATTCACCCGAGTCGGAGCGAGCTGTGGATTCCATCCAGAACGATATGCTTCAGCGCTGCCGCCGCGCCGCGCTGCCTGCTGGCCTGCCGCTGAATTAGTGATCGTCGCGGCCTGGAGGCCTGGAGCGCCCCTGGAGGGCCCCTGGAGGGCTCCTGGAGGGCCCCTGGAGGGCCCCTGGAGGTTACCTGGAGGGCCCCTGGCGGCGGCTTGGCCTCTGGAGCCTCAACGAACCGCCGCGGACGATACTCGATCCACATCCTTAGCCTCGCGGGCTCTGCCTCTCACTCCGCCAGACTGGCATTTTGAATCACCCGCGCATTTATCGGCGACCCGCCAAGCTTTTTACGGTGGCGGCGGGAGTGTGGATTCATGTCGCCCCGGAGTGGAGGGGGGGGGGAGGTTCGCTGCCGCCGCGCTGCTGCTGCCCTCCGAGGAGGCCGTCGCCGTCGACAAAAGGCTGTAAAACAAGAGGCGGCTACGTGCCCGTCATGCCGGCGGTGCTGGCGGTAAGTCATCCCGCACCGTACCGCCGCGTCACGCCGCGGGGGCCTCCTTGACCCGGCGGGGCGCGGGGGGTATCGGCAGGGCGGTGCCGCGCGTCGCGGCGATACTCCACGCCGACGGCAAGGGGCAGGCTAGGCCGCGCGGACCGCAGGGAAGCGCGCGGGTTGCCTACCGCCACCAGTGCAGGGGCTTTTCTGCCTTCGGGTGCCTTTGAGCCTCGGGACGAGCCGGCCAGAGTCTTCGTTGTCTGTCTGTCTGTCTGTCTGTCTGTCTGTCTGTCTGTCTGTCTGTCTGTCTGTCTGTCTGTCTGTCCTCGTCCGACAGCCTGTCGTTGTCGATCGGCAGAAGAAGTAAAGCTGCACCACGACGTTGTGCTCCAATATCCTTCCCCGTCCGTGTGAAAGTTTGCCGGAGACACGTTGGCGGTGGTGGCGGCGTGGTGCCCGCATGTGTTGTTGTTGTTGTTGTTGTTGTTGTCGGCGCCTTGGTGCGCAACTTGGCGGGGGTTCGCACGGCGGACTCTGCGCCTTCTTCGCAACGCCCTGCCCCGTCGGCGCCCTTCGGCCGTCGGTAACGAGCTGCTCTGTTTCGGTCCTGTTTCGGCACCGCTGCCCCGCACGAACAAAAACAACAGCAACAAAACAGAAACAACAAGGACATCGGCGCGATTCGACGAGCGCCAATCACAGCGGCGAGAATTGAAGCGGGATTGACAGTGTACCCTCCCTCCGCCACGCGGTATGATGGATGCCCGGCATCAGGCGGACCCGGCCTCATGTGTCTCCCCCGAGCACGATTCGATATAGACGGAAACATCAACAAGCGAAAGATGTGTGCCTGCGCCGCTGGCTCTCTACTTTGTGTCGAGTCCGCTCCAGATGAGCTGGCCGGAGTTTGTGCAGCGAGACGGCGGTAGCGTCGCACGGCTTTCGGATACTTCGCGGTGTATTTATTCTCGCTCGAAACTTGTTGTTGTGGCGCGTGCCCCCGTCGCGCAACTATTCCAGTGCGACTGGCTTCCCCGGCTGCTGGGCCCTAGGAGTCCTAGCAGCCCTAGGAGTCCCAGCAGCCCTAGGAGTCCTAGCAGCCCTAGGAGTCCCAGCAGCCCTAGGAGTCCCAGCAGCCCTAGGAGTCCCAGCAGCCCTAGGAGTCCCAGCAGCCCTAGGAGTCCCAGCAGCCCTAGGCCGGGCCGCTGTCACAACGAAGGGCGAAGGACGGAGGGGCAGAATGCATGCAAATTTAAAGTAAACAGGCGCCAAGTCTTCCGCTCCCACTTGAGCACGCTGGCGCCGCCCCGCGCTGCCCCGCCAGTGCCCCCGTGGAGCCCTGGAGCCTTACCCCGTCCGTCGTCACCCCGCTGGAGAACCTCGCCCCACATCCACGGCCTCCGCGTCGTGCCCC